CCGCCCCCTACCCCCCTACATCAAACATGCCAACTCCACCATCCCCTTTTTGATATATCAATAAATTCATTATTTGAAACTCCGATTTTTAATTTTGATTTTTGAAGGTTTAAGCCTTTTACCGTATGTATTGTGTGATATGTCAGACTAGTGGGTACAATGGCAACATGCAGTAGCAAGGGTTCATTTATATAACTGGAAAAAGTGTAAAAAAATTGTTATATGCAGAAATGATTACAATAGAAACTGAGTATCCTCTGTATAGTTATTGTCGGAGTGTTAAGATTAATATCTGTTACAAACTTTTTTGTCAGGGCGTTAAAATGATTTCACAAAAATCCATCATGGCACTCAATTATGTATATCAAACTGGAATATTGCTAATGCAAAAGTGATGGTCTTTGAATGTTGTAACATACTGCGGACCATGCATGGTATGGATTTCTTTTTTGCTTTTTTATTTTTTTTCTCCGATATACAATCTTGTATAAATTCAGGTTTCATCTATCTACGTACATCTATACTTTGCTTGTCTGTCTGTTTGCATCCAATGAACGACTGAACCGATCAAGTTTAAATTTTGTGTGACATCACGCGACCCCCGGGATGATCAAAAATTTGCCTCCAACGCAATTCGACTTCCAATAAATTTTCAAAATCAACGAAATTTTTTATGAAATCCACAAACTTTTTTGTTAGTTTTTGTTTTACAATATTTATAAAGAGAAAATGTTCACAATTAAAATATAAGATGGTTAAAAGTCTATACTTAAATTACGAAACAACTTGATGATAACCTGATTAATAATTTGTAACTTGCAGTTGCAGAATTGGAGCTTCAGGTTTTACTAAATACATTAGACCTCTTTTTTTTGGGGGGGGGGCACATTCCCCCTTGTCAGGAAACATTTTGTTCAATACTACCGGATATATGAAGAGTTTCGTTCAGATTTCGACAATTTTGGTTTTATTTAAGTAGAAATCTGAACAAAATTCTTCATATCTCCGGTAATATTGACATCACAATAAAGGTAGACCACATTGTCAGGACTAGGAGAATTTTGGGGTTATCGTTTCAAGATTTATAAATGTGTTAGTAGGTTGACGACTGAATGTCACAAATAAGTTCAAAGTTCTAAGACATCTTTCAAGTCGTCTTTATATTGTCATGTTTCGTGGGACACCCTGTATGTATAATATACTTTGTAAATGATGACGCAACAAGTTTAAACAATGGGTTGATAAAGTCAGTTTCATCTTGACAGAGATGATTTTAAAGTTTTTATATCACTGTAATATATTTAATAGGATCAACTGACACATGCCCACGCTAGCCTAAGTAGAATTATACTCGTTTACCCAAAACAAAATAGAGCTAAGCCAGTCACTGCAAATAGACAGAAGAAGATCAAATTTACGCAATATTACTGGAACGACTTACGACTTTGTGACTAGCTCCTCAAGTATTTTTTATTTTATGAAAAAGTCTTAGTAAGGTAAATGGGCATGCAGTTAAGTAAATTAGAAATACAAAACGTTTGCTTCTTCTCAATCAATAGCTCTTCAATAAGAGGAGTTGTGATTAAAAAGATAATATTTCATTCTTAATTGCAATTTACTTTAGTTTGATGTGAAGTCCGGGTTATATTCTCAACAATATATCTACAGAATAATGGTTTATGTTTTAAAGGGACAGACCGGCTATGTAAGGTAGTTAAACTGAGTATGTATGCAGTGTTGTGGACAAATTCTTTAGGATTCATTTGAGACTTATAAAACTTTTTAAAGATCTGTAAATCCTGAGTTTGAGCGCAAAGTCGACGTTCAAAATCGTACTTTTGAGTGGATACGTTTTCAAAATTGTTTTTTTTAATTATTGAATATAGACGACAAAAAAGTGAACAAAATTCTACAGTAAACTAATTTGTTGTTTAGGAACAGGTTCAGAAAGTAAAAATTAACTCTTATCATCGAAAACAAGTAATCTTATTTAATTATTAGTTTCTATAATCTCTCTTTAATCACAAAGATTTTCTGCAGATTTTCTGGAATTTTTATTAAAAAGACAACATTTAAAGAATTTGTAGAAATTTGCGAACAAATTCATAGAAAATGAGAAATTCAATAGAATAATAAAAAAAGAAATAAGTAATTCTAACTTCGATTTATTGACAAATTTTTTTGAGAAATATGTTCCTAAACATCTAATTAGTTATTTAATAATTAAAAAAACCCGCATTTTGAGAGGGAGCACCCATTAAAAAAATGCTTAAAAATCTACTTTTGCCCTTAAATAAAAAAGTTTCATTAAAAAAAGCTTTAATCAGTACCGCCTTCAGTGTAAATATATCTTTGATATATTATTTATAATACAATATGTTTCTAAGAAAATATAGATATTTTTTTAAGAATTGTTTCAATCTCTATTTTTCACCAATTGAAGCTTACATGACAATATTAAGAGGGAGTCCACTTAAAAAAAATACATACAAAATTTATAAACACTTGTTATGTGGAAGGGTATATATGATCGAATAGTTTACATAATTAAAAAGAGTATCAATATTTTTTCCAAAAAAAAGTTTTTAAGGGAGGGGAACAATGTTTGCAAGGGGCGGAAAAAACATTATTTTTTTGCGCTGTGACGCTCTCAATTAGTACCCTCTACACAAATGCTCTCATACGCGCCTGAAATGGATATGTGTTCACTGCACAAATACTATGTTTCATGTTCATGTGAATATTTAAAATACTAACTTGAGTATAACAATCTTCTTTCATTTTCACAGTTTATGGGTCTTACTGTATATTATTTAAATTATCAAGCTTAAAGTTTTACTGTTTCTTCTAAGAGCGTAAAAAGTGAATTCTAACTGAGCATAATAAACCCATAAAACCCCTGGTCTGCAGCATACCTATCTAATTACTTTTGGGCGGAGAAAAATGCTGGGTGGGTGGGGCGTTATTGCACCATTACGCATTCATGCGTCAGCATTACTTCTTTCCCACGCTCCTCCAGCGTAAAAATTACTTTAAAAAATAAAGACAATTTTTCAATGATAGATTTTTTAATATTTACACTTTACTAATTTTTTATAATTTATGACTTATAGCCGAGCCAATTATAGCTAAAGATTAAATCATTCAAAATCAAT